TATGAGTATATTGTCATATATGATTTTTATTTGCTTAGATTTGCAGAGTATTTTTTTCTCTACTTGCAAGATTCTGCTACACAACTATTCCAAGTTGATTTCTTTTTTTAAAAAAATGTATTTATTTATTTATTTTAGAGAAAGAGTGCATGTGTGCATAAGTGGGGGGAGGGGCAGAGGGAAAGGGAGAGAGAATCCTCAAGCAGACTCCCCGCTGAGCACAGAGCTCAACTCAGGGCTCCATCCCAGGACCCTGAGATCATGACCTGAGCTGGAATCAAGAGCCAACCATTTACCTGAGCCACCGAGGCAACCCTCAAGTTGATTTCTTATCCTAACTGCAGAGATCCAGGTATTCTATATATCCAGCACAATGTGATTAATAATTTTTCAACCTGGAAAAGAGAAAAGAACATTTCTTTTCAATGCTGAAAAAAATTAATTTATTTTTCACAAGCCTGGAAGGACCCAGCTGCCAAGAAGTCCCGGGACGCTGGGCCTCTTGCACACTCTTCTCTTGTCTTTACACCTCTCAACCCTTTTCTTTGTTTGAGGGGATGTTTCTGCTTCAGGCTTGACTGCCTCCTGCCCCCTGCCTGCCACTCCTGGTATTCATGCAGAAGTCATTCTCAAGCCCTGGACAAAAGTTCCTTGTCCCCTAGGCTCCAAGCCTCCCTGTCACACACTCCCTGTACTTTTCAGGTACGTAAGACTCTGAGTCCTGGGAATCAGAGTCTGTCCTGCCAGAACATAAAGGTGCTACAGAACATAAAGGAACCTTGATTCAGGACCTCAGAGCTGGGAGTGGAGAAGTCAGTGGGGTGATGCCGAGGGGTACCTAAACTTGGGGAAAAGCTGGGGGCTCTTGAGAGAAATAGCTGTTTCTGGGCTCTCTGACCTGAGGTGATACAATAGGTTTTCTTTCTGGCCCTGAAAATCTGTCACATGCAACTGTTTTGTTTCCTATCTCAGCACCACACTCGCGTGCGCGTGCGCGCGTGCGCGCGCGCACACACACACACACACACACACACACGAGAAAAGAATTAGGAAAATGCTTCATGTTGTAAGTGCTTGAAGTCAGAAGCAAGAAAGGCATTGCCAAGGCACTTCCTGGCTTGGTGCATGCGCAGGTGATGAAGGCACTGTTTAGGGAGGAACTGAGGTCTGGTGGACAAACATGGAGTTCTAACCACAGCCCAGTTATTAGTCCACAGGAAACATCCTGTTACTATTATAAAGATGAAGTGCTACTTTTTTTTTTTTTTTTTGAAGAACTTTCTAAATGTCTTCCTTTCCATTCTGATTCAGCTCAAGTCTGTGAGGCAGGAAGGTCTCAGGGCAGCCATGCCTGCAACATTAGCTAATCAGACTCCCAAGAAACATTCCATTCTGCTTAGGAGGGCTTTGGAGAAGGGTTTGCTCATGGTGGCTTTTAAAATAAACTGAGGGTTGCCAGGCTGAATGGACTCCCTGAGGGGCTAGTGACCTGGTTCCAGGCTGGTGCCCAGCAGGCTTGCCTCCTGGTGGGATGGTGAATGTATCATTAAACATGATTGGCTTTGCCTGTGCCCCATTCTTTGTGTCTGAAATAGGAAGTCTTGTAGCCTCTATTTCTTCCCATTTAAAATTGGAGAAACTGAGGTGCAGGAGAGTAATAATAATCGTAACAACCAACTCATAGAACACTTCATATTGGTTATCTGTAAGCGGCAAGAGGAGGGGCATCGTGGCATAGTGGCAGGAGAGATTTGGTTTCAGATCCTGGTTTTGCCACTCTGAAGCTGTGTGACCTTGTATAAGTAACTAAACCTTTCTGAGACTCCATTTTCTGGTTCGTAAAGCATTGATAATGATACCGATTCTGCAGGATTGTTGTAAGGAGTAGATATGATGGATGCAAGGTACCTAGAGTAGTGCCTGGAACCTACGAGTTATCTGATCAGTGGTCTTTTTTTTTTTTTAAGATTTTTATTTATTTATTCATGAGAGAGAGAGAGAGAGAGAGAGAGAGAGAGAGAGGCAGAGACACAGGCAGAGGGAGGAGCAGACTCCACGCCCAGAGCCCAACGTGGGCCTCGATCCTGGGACTCCAGGATCATGCCCTGGGCCGAAGGCAGGCGCCAAACCTCTGAGCCACCCAGGGATCCCTGTGGTCTTTATTACACAATGCAGGCCAGCCATAGGATAAGTAGTGTCTTCCAACACTGCTTGACAGCAAGAATCACCCAAGGAACTGGTTAAAAACAGATTCCCAGGCCTCATCCCCTGCAGTCTGTGGAGAGGCGTGGACTCTAGTCTAACAAGTCACTGGGTGATTCCTAGCAGGCGGTTTTGGAACACATCCAGGAACCCTCTAGTCCAACCTCTTAGTTTGGCTTTTTTGTCCTCTCTGCACCTGGCCCCATATACAGTAAAACTTTCGCTTTTGCTTGATGGTGGACATGATTAAAAGGTCAACTATCATTATATATTCTCAAAGAGAATATGCCTTGAACATTATTGCACAGATTTATGCTTGCAAAGCTATTTGCAAATGGAATTTGGTGTGTGTGTCTGTGTGTGTGTGTGAATAGAGAACAGGCATATATCTAATACCTTACTTTGCTATTTAAAGGAATGCATTCAACTAAATAAATATTATTTGAGTGACTCTCATATGCCGGGGATATAAGATGCAGGCCCTATCTTCAAGGGGCTACTTAGAGTCCTTTGAGGAAGATGGTCAGATAAACAGGCACTTACAACATTGTGGTTACATAAGGTTAGCACAGGAGCTGTGAGAGCATGGAAGGGGAAGTGCACTGGACTCGGGGTTGGGGCATCTGGGAAGTTCTAGGGGAAGTGACATCTGAAGGCGACACCTATACACTAGAATCTAGTCTCAAATCCTTTTGCAAAGTGAATGATCCTTCCTTAATTTATCCATGTGGAAAAATAAAGTTCCACATCATGGTAACCCTGGATACATTTATACAACCACACAGCTGCACAAATAGTGAGTTCCTGCTATGGGCAAGGCACAGAGTGAAGAGTTGCAGGGCGGCGAGGGCAACAAAGGCCCAATCCCTGCCCTCAGGGAGTTGACCCCACACCTCCTCAGGATTGACTTCGTTTCTCATAGAGGTCATTCAACCAGTGTGATTGTTGATGACTGAACAGGTAGTTTATTATTCAGGTCTTTTTTAAATTTATTTTTATTTTTATTATTCAGGTCTTAATTCCCTTTACTGAAAAGACTGTTTATTCTCTTTCATCATCATGTAGTAGGGAAATCCACTTCCAACCAGCACTTAAACTTAAACTCACCCAAGAGAAAACCCAAGTGCACATTGGAGTTCACAGCACTGCTTGCAGATCCAAGCCATGAAGCTGGGGAGGCCGGGATGGATCTTTAGGGTCCGTAGGGTCTGCATCTGGGGCAGCCCACAGACCTGGCAGGTTCTATGGTAAGCCAAGCTTTCCTTCTCTCTGGGCCTCGTGGACACTAATGCCTTTCAAACCCCCTGTCTCTGCCCCAAGAAGGGAAAGAGGCAGAGAGGAACAGAATTCCTTGTGAATTATGAAAATTACATCACGCTTAAACAAAAGGTGGCAAGGTGTTTCAGCCAGGAGATGAAGTCCCCACATGTTCTGTGCTTGTTTGTGTGTATGGTCTGGTAGGAGCTGCTTAGACCTTTAAAGTGAAGGTGTGTTGCCATCTTGCAGATGGGCACCCTAAGGTCCAAGAGGGGCCTGGTGGCAGTGTTGGACCCCTGGTGGTTTGCCACTCCCTAAGCTCATCTTTCAAAATCTCACCTGCATACCACTCTCCCTGCCTCCCGCCCCCCACAACCTCCCATTCCCTGCTTCTCAAAAGAACAAGCCTAAAGCATCTGCCTTCTGGTTTTTGCCAAGTTGCTCCCACTTCCTGAGACCCTGCCCCCCTCTATCTGCTTGGTGAAATTCAACCCATCCTTCAAAGCCCAGCTCAGGTGTCACCTCTCCTCCTGGTTGGAATTCATCTCTCCCTCCCCGGCGCTCCTTGGCTTGGCTCTTTCTCTCCTTACTTCTCCTAGGACAACTGGCTTAGCCTCCCAGATCCTGTTTTCTCCTTTGTGCGTGGGCACAGTAGTAGTAGTATCATCTGCATTTGTCTCCATCCCCTCCTAGCTCGTGGTCTTCGATGATATGACGAAAGCTGCCAGAGGAGCGGACGCTTACCGAGGCCCATTGTGTGTCCGGCCCGGCGTTTCAGAGCTTTCTGCCCATTATCTCGTGTAGTTGTCAGTCGCGCCTCTCTAGCCGGTACTAGTATTATCTTCACTCCGCAGAAGGGGAGGCCCAGAGAGGGGAAATGCCCCCTCCGAGGTCACACAGCGCGTATGCCCAGCAGAGCCAGGTTTACCATATGCCAGAGGGGGGTCCCGATCGCGACCCCTGGACTCGTTCCTGCGGAGGGATGGGGGCGGGGAGGACACCACGCACAGCGCGTCTCCTACGGTTTAGGGGTTCACTGACCCCCCGGCACACCCACCCGCCGGGCCAAGCGGGCCTTCGCGGGGTCGTTGTCCGTACGCAGGCCTGGCTGCGCCCGCGGCAGGGATCCCGGCCGACGCCTAGTGAGCCCAACGCCGGGCCAGGCAGCGGAGCCGAGCCGGGGACGCTCGGACCGAAGGGTTCCGGCGCTGGAGCCGCCGAGCCGGTGCCGGGTCCGAGTCCCGAGTCCCAGGAATGTGGGAGGGCTGGGCGGAGCGGGCGGGCACGGCGGGGGCGCTTCCTCCGCCCGCCCGAGGGGAGCCGCCAGGGCGCGCGCTGGGCGCGCCCCCGCCCCCTCCCCGCCCGCCCGGCCGGCCTGCGGGGAGGGGGCGGGGGCGGGGGCCGTAGCGGGAGGGCGGCGAGGGGCCGCGGAGCTCGGCAGCCGCCGGGCCGGCCGGGCGGGAGGAAGCGATGAATATTCAGAGGGGGAGGGGAAGGGAGGGGGCCGAGCGCTCGCCGCGGCTCCCTGCAGCCCGAGCCGCATGACGCGCGGAGGAGGCAGCGGGAGCCGCCGGAGCCGCCGGAGCCGCCGGAGCCGGGATCGGGGCGCCGCGCGCCGGGGGTGGGCGCCGCTCGCTCCGCCCCGCGAAGCCCCTGCGCGCTCAGGGACGCGTCCCCCCCGCGGCAGCCGCGCCAGGCTCCGCGCTGTGGCCGCCGCCACCGCCGCCGCCGCCGCTGCCATGTCCCCGGGGAAGCCCGGGGCGGGCGGAGCGGGGACTAGGCGGACGGGCTGGGGGAGGAGGCGGAGGAGGCGGCGGCTGGAGGCGGCGACGCGGGCGCCCGGGCTGGGGCGCACGGCGGGGCCCGACTCGCGCGTCCCGGGCACGTTCCAGGGCGCGCGGGGCATGAAGCGGGCGGCGCGGGAGGCGCGGCCGCCTCCGCGCTCGCCGGGGCTGCGCTGGGCGCTGCCGCCGCTGCTGCTGCTGTTGCGCCTGGGCCAGGTGAGCGGCGGGGTGGGCCCGGGCGGGCGCGGGCGCGGGCGCGGGGGCGGGGGGCATCCCCTGCACCTGCCCGGGTGTGCCGGGCCGGCGGGGTGCGGGGGAGGTGGCGAGGGGCCCGAGAGCCGCGAGCCCCCTTCGCCGCAACCCCGCCGGCCTGGCGCGGGCCCCGGGGGGCGCGGGGCGGGATCCGGGGTGCGGGGGCCCGGGGCCTCCGGGCGGCTGCCCCCGCGCGGGCTGCGGGCCCCCTCGGGCCCGGCCCTCCTCGGAGCTGGCCACGTCTGGCCGGCGCGGGCCCGGCTAGTCCGCCCGCGGCGGCCGGAGGGGGCGTGTTGGCCACGGGCTCGCGTCGCGGAGCGCGGCCGACCTCCGACCCGGCCTGCGGGGGCTCGAGGGGCCGGGCCGAAGGCAGCCGGGGCAGGCCGGGCGCGGGGCCCCCGGGCCGAGGGCTCCGCTCCTGGGGGAAGTCCCCAGCCCCGCAGAGGTGGCCACTCGCCAGCGCTCGGCGAGGCGACCGTCCCTCCCCTCCCCGGAGGAGCCGCTGGCTTCCCTGCGCGTTCATTTCGTGCTTTGTGGGCGCAGGCTCTCCCGCTCGGCGCCCTGCCCTGGCTGCTAGCTCGGCTTTCAGATACCGCTGTGCCTGGCGTTTGGGCGACAGACCCTTCTGAAAGCGCCGGTCCCCCTTCACGGTGTCTCCGTGCGGGGGGTGAGGCAGGGCAGCTGGGAGATGTCCCAGTGTCACCGATGGGGACCTTGAAGGGGAGGAGGGAGAGAGCAGAGTCACCCAGGAGCGAGGCGGGCGGCGGCGTCCTCGCAGCCTTCTCGCCGCCTGCTGGGGTCTTGCACCCGCCCCGTGGGAAGTGGCCTGCTGATGCCTCTGTTGTGCATGTTGTTAATGAAGACCTTGCTTGTTTTATGCAAACAGCAGCTCTGAGGAGGTGATGTTGGAAGCCTGGGAAATGAGTTATTGGCTGAGGATGGAACCTGGTTTCAGGAGAAACTTTTCAGGGCACGAATACAGGATTCTCTGAGAGCAGTAACATCAGCCTTGGAGCAGCAAAGAAGCCCGCAGGCAGGATGAGAAGGGAGCTGGGGCCTGGGGGCTGCAGTAACTGTCAGCACCCAAGGAGTTGCTCTGGGTGCTGACACCCCTGCCCGGTTTTCTTCAGTAGACTTTGGAAGGCAATGTGACCTCCCCCTGCAGAGAATGCTGGGTTAGGTATATCAGAAGACTAGCTCTAGAGCCAGGCTTCAAGGCTGGACCTGCTCTTCAGTTTCCCACACCCTCTTTAACAGCATTGGGAGGGTGGGCTGACACCACCTTCCCTCAAGAATTGTTTGAGGAGCTTCCACTGGTCAGTGTCTGAAAGAGCTTTGTAAACATTAAAAGGTGTCCAGATGGGGTTACATTAAGGTGCAGTATGTATGCACTGTTTTCTCCCTGTCCCTGTAAGGATATTCATGGAGAGCAGTCTATGAGATTAAAAAAAAAAAAAAAAGCCTCATAATTCAAGATCTCTTGCCCTAAAGTTTATACTAAAATATTTGATCCTCATTTATTTTTAGTTCAATTTGACACACATATATTTCTTATTATATTATGTTTTTACTTCATCGTGTTTGCTAGCTAGGCTTTCAATCAGTGAAAAAATGTCTGGGATAAATTGATTGCTTGCCCAAACCTTCCTTATATTTCAGTAGCAAATTGCTGCTCTGTGCTTGTCTTCTATTCAGTTATTTCCTTCCTCTCTAATGTGTTCTGTGGAAATTCAAGGGGAATCTTTTTATTTCTCATTTTGGGATACATTATAAAATAGGAAATCTGAAAGGCTCTCTGAGAAAGCATTTTCAAAATCCACAGTGGACAGTTCATTTCAATAGGGGATATTTCAGGGAATTTTTGAGCTAGGCCTGTCTTTCAAGATATTTCATTTTTTAAGGTGAGAATATTGAGGCCTGTTCATCAGGCTGAAGTCACCTGGCAAGACAGTAGAGGAGCTGGGGCTGGAACCTGTGTTGCCTCCCTCTGGATAGCATTTTCTTGATGCTTTGTCTTTTTTCTTCTTTTGCCATGTTTTCACTTTGATGTTACTTTTAACTGTAGGCACAGCCCTACCTCACCATGTACTCCCAAAACTGCGGGTGCAAATTGAAATTTTTCAAAATGGAGACGTATTTGAAATTGGAAGTCAGATTTGAGATTTCTAGAGGTTGTGCAATTAGGAAATGTGGGTTAGATACCTCCCTAACATTTGATTGGTTTTCTGAAACTTGGATACTATGTATGTGTGTGCCTTAAATGGAATCAACTGTAGCAGGTTAAAAAAAAATGGACAAGTCACAGAAAAGACACAACACTGTAAGGGAGTTCATGAGGATGGGTCTGGAAGCTGGAAAGCAGAGATGCTGGAAGATTCAGTGCTTAGTAGGGCCGGAAACGCCATGTTTGACCCTGGCATCTCATTCCCCTTCTCCAGGACAGGAAGGATGGTCAGAGATGATTCCAGCATGAGGACTGTGCCAGTTGCAATGTCTGACTCCACCCGTTGTCGTAGCATTTTTTGCACACTAATTTTGGTTTATGTGTATGTTTTAGGCAATGTGACCGAGCAGCAGTCCTGTCCTCCTGGCCACCCCCCTTGCCTCTTTTTCTTGGAAAATACAGTCCTGACAGATTCTTTTAAGAAATAGCTTCATAGCGGGCTGCTTTAAAATGGGGGTGGTGGTGATGGAAAAAGTTGGTGACTGATAGCTGTCTTGTTGGTCTTACAGTATTTTGGATTTGCTTTTTCTTTGCTTTCTTGTATCCTGGGGGATAATAACCGTTTGTGTCTGTGATCTATAATAGCTAATCCTTGGGTCTGCTTACCTACCTGCTTCACCCAGACTACAAAAAATATTTTGACTTCTCTTTAAATTGCTTGTTAAATTCTCAGATGGGTGACTTTAAATATTTTTGTTTTGCTTCAGAACAACAACGGAAAAACCAAATGATTATGCTTTGTTGGCAGACAGTTTAAGAAAACAGAGCAGACTGGTTTACGGTTAGACTGTGACTTTGAGTTGATTTCAAGTTGAGCCCTACGACGAAGAACAACCACGGGTCCCCAAGCTTTCCCGAGGGGAGAGAATCCTGGCTCCCGAGTGAGCAATTTCGGTCAGCAAAGAGGTTATTTAGCTCCTAAAAGTAATTTTTGCTTGGGGCTGAGGCCGAGGTAGAGCTGCTGAGTGACTGAAGCCCTGGGTTCAGCCAGCACATTGTCTGCAATTACTGCTTCATCCATTCGCTGCTTGGCCAGGGGAATTTATTTTGAGTGCAGGCTAAGAGGCAATTTTCTGTGTATTTCCTTTTGAGCCTAACGCTGCTGGTAATATTATAATTAGTAGCTAACATTATCTGTGGCAGGTACTGAGCTAAGGGTTTGACCACACCATCTCCTTTGACCATTTCAGAAATACTGAAAGGTCAGTGCTGTTATGTTCCCATTTTATTTGATAGAAAACTGAGGTTCCAGCCTCCCCAACGATTCATAACTAGTATGTGGTCGAGCCGAGTCTGATACCTTCCGTCCCTGTTTACTGTCCTGTGCTGCACAAAATCATGTAGGTTAGAGAAAATCTTCAGTCTGCAAGTAAGAGATGAGGTGGTGAAGAGCAGGCTTGTGGGTTCTGAACCCCAGTGGGGCAGGGAGGTTATCTATCTATCTATCTATCATCTATCTATCTATCTATCTATCTATCTATCTATCTATCTATCTATTTATTTATGCATTTATTCTATGCAGAATTTATTCCTGGGCCGTAAGTTTTGTTTCTTCAGTTTCTTCTGGGATATCTTTTTCTTCTGTGCAACCTCCTCTTCTGGTTTAGGAATAATATGCTCTTTTTCAGTAAGAATCATCTCGATGTGGCAGGGAGAGCTCATGTATGGATTAATCCAGCCACGAGCCCTGTAAGTTCTACGTCACATCTTGGGACATTGTTTACCTGGATGTGCTCAATGACCAGAGACTCTACATCTAAACCCTTAAGTTCAGCATTACTCTGCATTTTTAAGCATGTGCACCAACCCTGTGTCCAGCCCCACTGTTTGGCCTGTGCACACCTACCAACTCCACCATTGTAGCTTCTCTGCATCCTGTGCTCTATAGGATTTGCTCCATTTGTGACACGGGCAACCCAGGTAACTCTTTCCTGCTCCTATGGCTTTGGGGGCCTGAGTCTTAGTGGAGACAGGGTCCAGAGTGGAAAGGCCTGGGTTCAGGTCCTCGCTCTGCCACTTAGTAGCTGCATAAACTTGGGCAAGTCCCTTAACCTCTGTGACTTCTCATTTCCTTATCTGGAAAATGGGACCAACACTTCCTGCTTTACTGGGCTGTTGAGAGGATCAAATGTGATACAGAAGAGGAACTGCCATATAAAATCTAAGGCACGATTCTAAGGTGTGCCCGCTGCTGTTACTGGGGGAGAAGAAGTGGTGCTTCACATCATTAGTTCATCCACCAAATACTTAGCAAGCATTGCTCACAGAGTGGCACCTGTGGGCATGCAAGATGAACTCATGCAAGATGAACATCACAAAATGTTTTTTTTTTTTTTTTGATGTTAAGAATTATTTATTTTAGGGGTGTTAGTAAAAAAAAAACAAAAAACAGTAAGTTGTCTATCATGTGCATGATTTTAAGGTAGAGTGAGGTTAAATGTAGTGTCATGGTATATAAATTTATGTTTAATAAAAGGTTGATCCAAAGGAAAATATTGGGTAAATAATTATGAAAGAATGATACGGTCATGGCAAACTCGTCAAGGTGAAAGAGTGCTTAAGTTTGGGACATCCTGGGGACATAGCAGGCAGCCTGCCTTCGTGACTTCCAGACCTTGGGAGTGAGATGTTGCTCTGACCACCCCGAGCTAACCAGTCACAGTTGTGACACAGGCTGTGTGTGTGATGTCCTTCTTGTCCACCTCCTTCCCCCTCCCAGAGATGAGTGGGGGCAGAGGGT